TGCCGCACTAGGAGGAGACTCTATGGTGGGGGAAAAGGGCTTTCGGTTGGCAAAGGAAAAAGGATGCCGCACTAGGAGGAGACTCTATGGTGGGGGAAAAGGGCTTTCGGTTGGCAAAGGAAAAAGGATGCCGCACTAGGAGGAGACTCTATGGTGGGGGAAAAGGGCTTTCGGTTGGCAAAGGAAAAAGGATGCCGCGCTAGGAGGAGACTCTATGGTAGAGGAACCGGGCTTCCAGTTGGCAAAGGAAAAAGGATGCCACGCTAGGAGGAGACTCTATGGTGGGGGGAACCGGACTTCAGCTCAGGGGGGCTTCCAATTAGGGCCTTTGTGGCTCTTTACAATTGCTGACCCCTGCCCTGGGTCAACGCTGGCTGGGAGTTCTGGGTACTGCAGTCCCAGGAAGGTGCCAGACTGGGGACATCAGGGGCAGCTCCCACTTTTTCCATGCGTCTCTCCAACTCCTGCTCCCACTGGGTGATTCCCGAATCCTGGCCAAGAGGCAAAAATGCTGCATTCCCCCTGTTGTGGCCAGCCAGCTGATGGCAGAGTCGGACAGTGAGGAGGTTGGGGAGGAACCTGGGCCAGTCCTGGAGTCTGGGGAAGGCTCGGATGAAGGCTCTGAGTCGGAGGCAGAGAGGGGGCCAGAGCCAATTATCAGCTGCCTTCGGAGTCAGACATCAGTGAGGCAGAACAGCTGGAGCCTGTTCCCAGTGTGCGCGTGCGCAGAACTGCCAGACAAAGGGAGCAGCTAAGGAACAAGGGCCGACTCGGGAGTAAAGGCACAGGTGGGCATTGAATGCCCCTTCCCATAGGAAATAAAAGAGGAGCGAAAGGAGAGTGGAGTTTGCAGGAGACCATGAGTTCAATTCATTTGGGTGAAGATCTGTCCCTGACTTCTTGCCAAGGAATTGCTGCTACAGCGTGGAGTTTGGAAGATGTTGGCCTGGCAGCTCTCCAAGCCTGAGAAAGCTGTAGCTGTGAAATCTCACGAAAGTCTTTGCTGGAGAGGAATTCCCTTTAACCTAAATAAAAGGGGTTTTATTGGGACGAGGAGTCGGGTTCGTGATATTGGGAGGCCTAGGTCAGAGCGCCCCAAAGGGTGGCAACGGTTGGTACCTTGCATATTTTGTACAGCGAGTCCTGCCCATCTCCTCCGGTGTCTTTGAAGTAGTCATGGGCAGGGAAGGTCCGGTTGATGTCCCGGGTGATGGCACTGTCCTGGGGAGACTCCTGCAAAGCCGAGAGGAAGAAGGAATAACGGGATAACAGAATAGAACAGAGCTGGAAGGGACCTTGGAGGTCTTCTAGTCCAACCCCCTGGTCAAGCAGGAAGCCCTACACCATTTCAGACAAATGGTTGTCCAATCTCTCCTTCAAAACCTCCAGTGTTGGAGCATTCACAACTTCTGGTGGCAAGCTGTTCCTCTGGTTAATTGTCCTCACTGTTAGGAAGTTTCTCCCTTAATTCCAGGTTGCTTCTCTCCTTGATTAGTTTCCACCCATTGCTTCTTGTCCTGCCCTCAGGTGCTTTGGGGAATAGCTTGACTCCTTCTTCTTTGGGGCAGCCCCTCAAATACTGGAATACTAGTATCATGTCACCCCCTCCTTCTTTTCATTAAACTAGACATACCCAGTTCCTGCAACCATTCTTCATATGTTTTATCCTCCAGTTCCCTCATCATCCTGGTTGCTCTTCCCTGCACTCTTTCTAGTCTCAACAACTTTTTCACATCTTGGTGACCAAAACTGGATGCAATACTCCAAGGGTGGTCTTACTAAGGCATTATAAAATCATATGAATACTTCCGAATCAGAATAGAGCTAGAAGGGACCATGGAGGTCTTCTAGTCCAGCCCCCTGCTCAAGCAGGAGACACTATGCCATTTCAGGCAAGTGACTGTCTTTTTAAAAACCTCCAGTGATGGGAGCACCGACGATTTCTGGAGGCAAGCAGTTCCACTGGTTCATGGTTAATTGTTAGGAAGTTTCTCCTTAATTCCTATTTGCTTCTCTCCTTGATTAATTTCCCTTCCGTTGTTTCTTGTCCTGCCCTCAAGTGCTTTGGAGAATAATCTGAACCCCCCCCCCCTCCTTCATGCAATCTTGATTCTATCCCTCTATTACTGTGAAAATTTAGGGCCTCGGCAGTAGCCTGGGAGCCTCAGNAGAATTCCCCAGCCAGCGAATGCTGGCTGGGGAATTCTGGGAGTTGAAGTCCGGACATCTTCAAGTTGCCAAGGTTGAGAAACACTGCTTTATAGAGCGGTATTAGTACCTCCCTTGATTGTATCCCTCTCTTAATGCAGCTTAGCATTGTGTTGGCTTTATTGGCTGCCGCCGCACACAGCTGGCTCTTATTGAACTGGTTGTCCACTAAGACTTCAACCTCTGGCTGGACTCAGTGATCGGAGGAGTCTCAGGAGCCAAGCTCTTATAAGTCAGAATTTCAGCCTTTGCCAAGGAAAGACGGTGGGGATCAGCCCTGCCCCTGGCACTCTTTCAGCCTCTCTCGCCACATTGATGCTCTTTGGGGAACCAAAACTCTGCCACTGTCTTCAAAGACCAAGCAAAACCTTTGATTGGCATACGCCAAGTAGGGCTCTCATCTCCGCTAATGGCCCTTTTTGACAAGGTGCTTTGGAGGGGGCCAGGAAGAGGAGCCCTCCCCCCCTCCCGCCACCCAGGGAAGGGAGAAGAGGCAGTTTGGAAAGGCCAAATTCAAAGAGCTGGCCAGATGAGGGGAAGCTTTCTACCTGCTAATTAGCTCTCCCTGCTAATTACCTCCGGGATTCTGGCTTCTACCTTATAATGCAAATGAAGGACTGTGTGTTTTATCTCTGGGGGTGGAAGGAGAGGGGGGGGGCATTGCTTTCTTTCTGGATCCACTCTGGCCCAAAGGAAGCGTCCATCAGCGGATCACAGTTTTGTCCTAGAAGCCCTGGGTCAGGGGTCAGCAATCTGTGGCTCTGGAGCCGCATGTGGCTCTCTTATCCCTCTGCTGTGGCTCCCTTTTGCAGGTGGGCTCCACAATTGATAGGGCTTTCGGTTAGGGCAGGTAGAGGGAAAAGGATGCTGCACTAGGAGGAGACTCTATGGCAGGGGAACCGGATTTCCGGTTAGCAAAGGAAAAAGGACGCCACATTAGGAGAAGACTCTATGGTGGGGGAACCAGGCTTCCGGTTAGCAAAGGAAAAAGGATGCCGCACTGGGAGGAGACTCTATGGCAGGGGAACCAGGCTTTCGGTTGGCAAAGGAAAAAGGATGCCGCACTAGGAGGAGACTCTATGGTGGGGGAAAAGGGCTTTCGGTTGGCAAAGGAAAAAGGATGCCGCACTAGGAGGAGACTCTATGGTGGGGGAAAAGGGCTTTCGGTTGGCAAAGGAAAAAGGATGCCGCACTAGGAGGAGACTCTATGGTGGGGGAAAAGGGCTTTCGGTTGGCAAAGGAAA